CACACACACACATATATATTATAAAACATTTAGACATCTATGTTCAAATCATACTTTTAAGCCCTCTAAGTCTTCAAGGGGAATAAGGTGGTTTTGTGTTTTGCCTTATACTTTCAATACTTTTATTTAAATCCCAAGAGTTGTTTTCCACAGTGGGATGCTCTGCTACAGTCATAAAACTCTTTCAAGCCACGGGGGATGACAGAGTTAAAACTCTAAAAGATTAACACTGGGCTCGCTCACTGGCTTACACTCTGCCCTGAAGCATTTGTCTAAGAGCTTAAAAAAAAAAAAAAGGCAACAGAGAAAATTGTTCAAAATCTATCTCAGGAAGCACCCTACTTCTAGGGGAAAAAACTCGGGTCCTGAGGTTTTGCTGCCTGATCCTGCCCGGGTCTACATTCTGTTGCCTTCTTCCCTAGGAGAGTTGTGAAAAATGCCTGTCATGTTCCAGACTGATCTCTGAGGTTATGAGAGGAGTGTGAAAGGGAAGTCAATAGAATTCTCCTTTGCTCTGACACAGGTAACAGTTGGATGACCTAAAAATAACACCCCTTCAGCCTTGATTTAGACATTTGGCTTCTACTGCCTTACAATGAATCAAATTATACCTACATTTTCTGTGGGTCACTTTTATAAATGAAATATGAGAAATTACCCAGTGAAAGCAAGACAAAGGCAGAAAGACAGACATTAGGCCCCATCAAAGAAAATCTATAAAATGTTTTGACCCCAGAAGCAAAGATCGTATCAGTTAAATCAGTATCAAATTGAGTTAAGATGTAAACTTTGATGTGCAGTGATTGCTGTAAAATGAGAAAATATATTATAGAAATGGGGATAATACACTCCCCATCCTCAGAGTATTTGTCTATAATTCAGAACGTATTTTTGTTTGGAGTATTGGTGTTAACGTGCTTTCTTAGCAGAGAGTAGAACAGCCGTTATAGTGTATGTTATGAATGCATATTAACAGCAAAGGCATTTCCATATCTGGAACTATAGTAGAAAATGCATAACAAAATTTCTTTTGAAAGATTATTGCACAAACACACTGAATCCTTGCTAAATCTTGACATAACAACTTTTTGTCCCCCCCCCTTTTTTTTTCGGAAAGGAAATCTGGGACATTCAAACAATAGATTAATACTCAGCAAACTTCAACACAGATTCTATCCCCCCTTCACCCCACCTCACCACCACCACCAAAGGTTTCTATTTCATGTTCAAAGGCAGAAATAGAACAGTCCCAAATGTTTTCATCAAAAACACTGTTTCTCATTTGTCTGCACACTGCAAAGATAAAATATAAAGTCTATCCTTGTGATGAGCTACATTGGTGATAGTTTTCTACTAACATGTCACGTTACCATTCCTTAGATTTTGATTCTCATGTTTGTGATGTCCGTAATATAATGCAGCTTCTGGAGACTTTGCAAGTTTAGAATATGGTATAATATGTAAAATGAGTGACAGGCTTTGTGGTTCCTGACTCTTGATACTTATGCCCCTTTATATTTAAAAAATTAAACCATACGTGAGAACAAACGAAAGTCAGCATCTGCTCTTCCTATAGAAACTCTCTGGGTTGAAGTAAAAGGTGTGTGTGTAGTTTTTGAACCAAAGGCTATATGAAATAAACTCAATGCACCCAAGACCAGTAATAGCCCCTTAAACAACACATTTTGAAATGCCTCTGGTATGTCCGACTTTTTTGAAAGGTAATCTAGGCCAATCTACTTCACTTAAGTTAAGAATTTATAGCCTTATTTTTCTTTTAAATTTGCATTTTTAGCAGACCATTGAGGGAGAAAAATTATTCTCCTTTACCTAACATAATTCCCCTTTTTACCATCTTCCCCGTCTTTTCTAGAACTGCCCAGGCCAAGTTGAGTAACTTTGAGGGGGACAGAAATGAGTGGGATATGACAGGAGCAAAATTGAATTTAATTTGAGGCCCCCGATGCCAATTTGGAACCAAAGTGCATTAAAGCAGCAGAATTCTAAACCTTTCAAAACTGGGATTTATAAGGGGAATGCTAACACAGATTCAACAGTTACAACTCTGCCAGGGATTACTTTAATACCAAAAGCATACTGTCTCACTTTATAGAAAGAGATTATTCAGTTGTCAAACAACAAAGGTTGTGCTTGTCCATTTTTAAACTTTTTTTTTTAAGTGCACTTTTTACTGATGGGCAATTCTGAAATAAAACGTTCTTTTTTTTTTTTTTTTTTTTTTGCAAGGGAGGGGGTGACAGGGGAGCAGAGAAAAGGAGAGGAAGGTGGAGTTTGCCTCTGGTTTCACAGTTTATTTTATCAATAAGGCCTTGCCAGTTTCACTTAACTGTTTCTACCCCGCTTTCGTTAAGACACCAAAAGTGCTGGGAGGGGAAAAAAGATAAATATGAATAAATCTGACAAAGAAAAACAATTGGACAGTGATATAAGAATGAGGAGACTTTTTAAATTGATTGTTGGTCTCGAGGGGGGAAAATGTGAGGAGAAGATTTTTAAGAGAAAGGGAAAAAAAAATCTGAGGGCTTCAGAAAAGACAGAAGCTAATCTTCGATTAAAATACTCAGCAGAATGCCAGGGAGAGCAAGACAAAAACCTAAGAGCTATTTTTTATGTTTATTGCCTATGAACCTAAATGAGAAAGAACAAGCAAGTTCATGCTGGAAAGAGATTGGGACAATGCAAGAGTGAAGTTGTGACTTTTGGTAGAGGACACAAGAATGCAGTTTGAAACCTTTCACGGGGAACTTGCAGACGTCTCTGCATTTGATATAGATAAAGAATCTCTCTGAAAAGTTGTTGAAAGGTACCAGTAAGTGTAGAAAGGGGAACGTCTGAGGATGTCTTTCAGACCCCAGATGGAGAGACTGTTCTTTTATTCCAAATTCCTAAGAAGCACAGAAGTCGTACATGTTAATAAGAGAACACACAGACACACACCCATAAGTTACATGCCATGAAACAAAACAAGGAAATAAGGAGACCTTTGTTGATCCCTGTTCGCTTACACAAATCTTAGTTTGCTTAAGCATCTCAAGACCCTTTTCCTGATTTCAGCTCCTCCTCACGGCTTTCTCTCCCCGGGTACCCAGGTGCAGGAAAGGGATGGTGATCTTTACAAAACGTCAACATCAACAACAACAAAAATCTCTCGCTCACACAAAAGCCCACCTTGTAAATGAATGGAATATTAACGACTACCTAATAGTTGCACCGTTGGCAGGGCGAAACTGAACACTAACACAGCTATTTTCTCCAGACTGCCAGTGAAGCCGAAGCAGCTCGAGGAGAAACGCACCTACTGTATGTGAAATGCTGGTGCAGATTTTTTCCCTATCAGTCTAACCTTCTGTGTTGATGCATGAATGCTGGTACCCACTTACAGGGATGCCAGATGATCAGTGCAGAATGAAGGTCCCAAGAGAGAGGATCACATGGTTCTCTCTGCCCTGTGACGTCACTAGCAGATGGCATGGGTACCAGCTCTGGCAGTTGGCATCAATGTCACTTTTTAGAGATCAATGAGATAGTGCAGATATACACAGATCTAGAGACTCCAGGAGACGATGCGACACTCAGCCTGAAAAGATTTGGAAGATACAAAATGAAAACTGATTATTGAATGAAATTAAAACCTAAGGTAATATAAATAAAGATCTACTTCAATTGATGCTGGCTTTGCATGCAAGTATTTAAAGATACAGTGTCACTGTCTTATAGTATTTATATGCTCTTTGCCATCTATAACTTCTTATCATATTTCATTCTTATGATGTAATTGTCACATACTTTCACTGCTATTATGTAACACTGCAAGTATGTGGACATTACTAAGAGTTTGTGTGTGTGTGTGTGTGTGTGTGTGCTGAGGGGGCTGGAGATTGTTAAATTGAAAAGTCTCTGTTTTAACGTGCCTATTTGTTTGAAGACTTTAGATGAAAATACTTGCTGCTTCCCCAAACGAAAGCCAAAATTGCATTTAAAACACAAATTATTTTCCCCTTTCATTCGGGATTCTGAACACACGTGCACAATTGCAGTCAGAATCCTTGGACCGTTCCTGTCAGATATTAGCTAGAGGGAGACTTCTGTAGCTCATAGAACAAAAACACTATGAGAGTGGTTTTTTGTCCAGGATGATTTGAACAGAAGCAAACAGACGATTACATTTGGAAAAAATTGTAAATGTAAAAGCAGTCTTAACATTTTCTTTGATTACAAAAAATGCCAGTGATTTTTATTTTTTTTAATTTATTTATGGAGTTTATTCCAAATTAGCCCAATCCCCCTCCCCTTTTTTGTGAAGGCTGGGAAAATAGTGCTCTTTTATGTATTTCTTCACTGATCAGAAAGAAATCAGTTTTAAAAATTGGCTCTGATTTATCTTTTCTTTAAATTTCTAAATGTCAACAGCCACTTATCTAAATTTGCAGTTACATAATACAGCAGATAAAGTTAAGGCTTATTTCTTTTTCTAAAACAAAACAAAACAAAACACCTCACAAATTTGTCAGTTAATGGAGAGATAACACTTTTTTATTTTAAAAACTGGTGTCTCTTCTCATTTGGTACTCAGGGGAATTGGAATTAATGAAATTCTGCATTGCTATATCATGTTTTGCATTTGCTTGAATTCCACAGTCCTTTTTGTGCATTAAAACCAGTTTAAAATCAAAGGGAAGTGGAAATGGTGGTAGCATTATAATAAATGCTTCTTGTTTTATTTTCTTTTGATAATTTGCCTGTATAAATCGATCCTATTGCATGTGCCAATGTTTTTTTTTTTTTTATAATTACTAGCCTGCACAAACTCAAAGATTCTATTTAATGTAAAAAATCGGTCCCAGAATCAGGTTTTTTCACGTGTTTTTGTATTCTTATGATTAAGTCATTAAATATGTTTGAAGTGTATAAACTTTAAAAATGAAAACACTTTAAATATTGTGCTGGCATTTTTTCAGGTAATTTAAGATTAGAGAACCATGTTAACACTACCGTTTGATGAGTCTGTTGTAATGCCAGAATCCCAGATGTGCAGAAAGTTTTCTAGAGAATGTGAGGACCAGAAGCAAATTAAGAAACCAGAAAGCTTTTCCAAACAGATTGTCCTTCGAGGAAAGAGCATCAAAAGGGCCCCAGGAGAAGAAACCGAGAAGGAAGAAGAGGAGGAAGACAGGGAGGAGGAAGATGAAAATGGCTTGCCCAGAAGGAGGGGTCTTAGGAAAAAAAAGACGACCAAACTCCGACTGGAGAGGGTCAAGTTCAGGAGACAGGAAGCTAACGCACGCGAGAGAAACAGGATGCACGGCCTCAACGACGCTCTGGACAATTTAAGAAAAGTGGTCCCCTGCTATTCCAAAACCCAAAAACTGTCCAAAATAGAAACTTTACGACTGGCCAAAAACTACATCTGGGCACTTTCTGAAATTCTGAGAATCGGCAAGAGACCTGATCTGCTCACGTTCGTCCAAAACTTATGCAAAGGTCTTTCCCAGCCAACTACAAACTTGGTGGCAGGCTGCTTGCAGCTCAATGCCAGGAGTTTCCTGATGGGTCAGGGTGGGGAGGCTGCGCACCACACAAGGTCACCCTACTCTACTTTCTACCCGCCCTACCACAGCCCTGAGCTCACCACTCCCCCAGGGCATGGAACTCTTGATAATTCCAAGACCATGAAACCCTACAATTATTGCAGTGCGTATGAATCCTTCTATGAAAGCACTTCCCCTGAGTGTGCCAGCCCTCAGTTTGAAGGTCCCTTAAGTCCTCCCCCAATTAACTATAATGGGATATTTTCCCTGAAGCAAGAAGAAACCTTGGACTATGGCAAAAATTACAATTACGGCATGCATTACTGTGCAGTGCCACCCAGGGGTCCCCTTGGGCAGGGTGCCATGTTCAGGTTGCCCACCGACAGCCACTTCCCTTACGACTTACATCTGCGCAGTCAATCTCTCACCATGCAAGATGAATTAAATGCAGTTTTTCATAATTAATGAGGAAAATGAAAATAAACAGTGGTCATTCACCTCCCCCGTCTAATTAAGACAAAGCAGATGCTTGTGGGCTGAGTAACTGGCACAACTCTATCTGAGGTGTTTACTAGTTCCTGAAGTGTATTTCAACTATTGTGAGAATTTTCTATGTAATAATAAACCTCTTTTCGTATAAGGACTTCTTTTCCTTTCCTTTTGTCTGTAAAGCACTGTGAATCTGTTTCTACTGGAAGGATTTTTTTTTCCCCCTTGTTTTATTTTCTTTTAAATTCACTTTGAATTAAATTTGTTTGAACAAGGTGTCTAAGAATATACTGTTGAATAAAGACATGCACACAGCATAACTCAATGTCTATTTCAGTTGTACAGTAATTATAAAAAATGCATGTTATTAAAATCAGATGAATAAAATGATGTGTTTATAATTACTAGCAATTATATATTATGTATCTCTGAAAATTGAAAATATTGAGAATAACACGAAGGTGACATTGATATTAGAAGATGCATTTGAGGATGTGCAACAATATAAAAAGCTATGCAATTTTCTTTTTATTAAGGATGAATCTAAATGCATTCAATTGGTAACTATTCCTCTTCAAGTATTGCAGATGGGGCAACATGATATTTGGGTGGACGGTGTCATGATTTTGGAACAATTATTTCAATCGTAAAGAAAAATTTTTCGGCACTTGTTTTGTATTGTTCAGAAATTATCTGTACAGGTTTGTTATCACAATGTATAATTGTGTTTTTCCACCCCACATTTTTAAAGCAATTAAACATAGATATTTACACTCCTAAAGGACATCTATTAGCTGTGATATTTTTGCACGATATTTATTATTTCCTGGTACACAGCTGCTTTCTGTCTCTAACACTCCCTTCTCCCCATTTCAGAAATATTTCTGGATCTCAAAACCGTACGAGATAAAATAATTTTTTTAAACAAAATGGCCAAAGCGCTTACAAGAATTTTTTTTTTAAGTATCTCAAATGAAAGAAGAGGGGCCCAGGAGAGTTAAACATCCTGGGGAAACAATGATAAATCCTGGTAACCTTCAGCTCCAGCCGAAATTCGGTGGCAAATTTCCAGCAAACACCAAGAATGGATGTTAAAAACGGAAGGTTTTATACTCTGCTCGGTTTAAGTAAGTCTGGCCGATTAGAGGCTAAATTCTGTGTGATTAAAAGTTTCCTGACAAAAGGCCACCAAACACCTACTTGAATAGCGCCTGGGGAGCTCACTCTCTTAGGCAGAACTGAGCCCCTTCTAGAATAAAAACCAAGGTGGCCCTGACCTCCCTCCAGCTGCCCTCTTGCGCAGGTTTGCCCCCCAGGGGGAGCAGGGGAACAGCTGCGAAGGCCCGCGAGGTTAGCAGAAATGGGTCCGGCGGTGGCGGGACAGAGAGGGTCCGGGTGGGCCCGGGCAGGGGGTCCGCGCTCACCGCCGCCCTGCGCTGCCCACTCGTGCGCCCCGCAAGCATCGCCCGAGCCGGCGCAGGCCCGACGGCTGCTCTCGGGCGGCTCGTGGGGAGGACGGAAGTGGCTTGGCGCCCCCACACTTGTCACCCGGGCACAGAGGCACAGGCTGCACTGCCCGTGACCCGCCCGCAGTGGTCGCCCTGGGGCCGGGGGCCGCGCCCTGTGAGCGGCTCCCGAGCCGATCTCGCGGGCGGGGAAAGGGGCTGCGCGGTCCGGAGAGCCGGCGGGCCCCGATGCCCTGGTCTGAGGCGGGGAGGAGGCGATCTCCTAGGGCCAGGACCCAAGAGGCTGCAAAGGGCGTCGTCCCTTCACCCGCCCCGTCTACCGCAGTGGAGAAAGCGGCGGCGGCGGCCACTCCAGTTTGCCCAAATGCCGCTGAAATCTGCCCCTGTCCTGCCCTCCCACGCCCGCGGGACTTCTAGAGCCCAGGCCGAGAGGCCTGCCCCGGGTTCTCCAGGGGCAGCGGCTCTCCAGCTCCCCCCGCGTTGGCGCGCACCGCAGCCGCACTCCGAGGGGCAAAGGTGCCCCAGTAGCTGCTGGCGCGGGACTCGGCGGGTGATGAACGTGCCCTTCTAAGCGGTTGGTGACAGCACCTGTTCATTCCAATTCCACGAGGGCAAGAAGTCGGGGAAAGAGGTGGAAGTGTGCCCTCTAGGGGTGGAGAGAAGTTTGCCCGAGGTAGAGAGCTGTCAGTCCCCGGTCTGTCCGGACACCGGAGTGACTCGCCCTTGCTTCCCGGCAGACGCAGCGCACAAAACTTGCCTTCTCCAGGACCGTGTCCGGGATTGCCAGGCCTCTTTAAAGCCCCTCAGACACTAGGAGTCTGATCGCTGCTCACCCCGTCTGAGCAAAGAGCAAGAAAGTGAGGAAGCATCTGGAACGAGAAGAATCTGACTTAAAAAATTAAGGCATTTCTGTTTAGTCACTAACAGAATAAGTGCGGTCTCCCCCACCTTGTTCCAAGGTGACCCGCTGCCTGACTGCGAACAGCATCGCGCCGCCTAAGAGTCTCGTTGGTCCAGACAGGCTTTGAAAACTACAGCCTTTCCTGGGTCACAAATCCATGTTGGAATTAGAGACTACAACGGTAGATGCCCTCTCCCCTCTCCCTTGCGGCAATATGGGAACGCTAAGAAAAAAGCAGCTGGCTGAATGTCTGGGGAAGAAGCAAACGTTCAGAAGTGTCTTATCTCGGGGCTTTGTTCGAAATGAACTCAAGCAAAAGAGTGGGGTTTTCTGGCACAGACCGCAGAGATTATGAAATTTCTTCTATAGTTTTGGGTGCACAAATCAGATGCGTGCTCTCTCTTCTGTGGGACTGATGGGATCCAGGATACTATGTTGTGTGTTAGCAGGGTGTGTGTGACTGATCCCTGTGGCTTAATCATCCTTCGGGTCCCACTGATGACCCCTGGTATGGGAACCACCCACCCGGTCCCCTTTACACTAACCAAGGTCGGGGTGTCCGTTCTCTTCCTCAGCAGGGCCCTCCCCGTTCCCCGGGGACTGCAATCCTGAGAAATCATGACTTGTGCATTCATATACCAACATCGCAGATGCCATGCATTGCAGAATCTTGCCTTTTAAGGTATGACTCCGATGGAAGGGGATATAGGATAGTATAGAAAGTACACTTTAGGATCAAGAAGTCTCCGAGTCAGATTTGGGTCAAAATCCTGCCTCAACATGGACCTCTTATTGCAGCCTCAGGGAGACAGCATACAGCAGCCAAAAGGCTGGAGGTCAAGATACCTTCGTTCCTTACTCTCTTCATGACCTTCTGCTTTCCTCATCTCCCAACTTGAAAGGATGAAAGGCCTGTTTTCTGAAACTTTTAAATAATTACTGCCTTTCACATGGAGAGGCATCTCTTTTGAGTTGAATTATGTGAATATTACATTTATTTTTTATATTATAAATCTTGTATTTCTCCGTTTGTCCTTTCTCCCATGTCAGGACTTGATAGCTAGCTAGCTAGATGTAGATAGATATAGATATACCCTCAACAAAAGAAAAGAAGTAGTAGGTAGTGCAGGACTGAAATGGCTGTCCAGGGGCACCAGAGGCCTAGGCTCCTTCTACCTCCATTAACCTTAGTGTGGTGCTTCCATTTTCAAATTTGCCTCATGGCCCAAAATGGCTGTTGGGGTTCTAACCATTGTGTCCTCATTCCAATTAAGGAGAGGGGAAGGGGGTGGCAAGTGGGTGTCCCACCCACCTGATCAGACCCTTTTAGAAAATATTAATGACTTCTACTTAATATATCACTGATCACCACTAGATTTAAAAGAAGCTGGAAAATACATCCTTTTTATCAGAACATATTGCTACCTGCAAGTAAGGAAGAAGGAGAAGATGGGTGTTGGTCAGGCACTTAGCAATCTCTGCCAGGCCTCCCCTTCTAGACTCTGAATCCTCAAGAGGTTGGGCCTCATCTTATGTGCTGTGCAGACCACCTTAGCACTCTGCCTTGCACATCATGGGTGCTCAATAAGATTTTTGTTTCCAAAGCACTCCCAACAGTTCAGAAGGCATATGTTGTTGCCAGACATGTCTTCCATCCAGGTGCTAACGGGACACAATGCACAGCACACCTCTGCTGGACCACTGTGGCACTGTACCCTTTCTTCATCAGTGCCCTCGTGGGGTTGTCTTGGCCCACGCTGGCCTTCCCCCCACCCCCACAGACTACACTGCCCCAGCCTCAAACCTGACACATTCTGTGCGTGGCATCACTGGCCTTACCCATAAGGTTCAGTCTGCCAGACAAGAGATTTGTCTTCACAATCTTCTTTGTAGTCCCGTGAGCCCCATCTGTGACCCATCTTTACATACGTTTTCCCTCGCCAGCTCTGTGTGGCTGGCTTGCTTACTTCTTTTTTTCCTCTTCTTTTTTTTTTTTATTAACATGTAATGTATTATTTGTGTCAGGGGTACAGGTCTGTGATTCAACCGTCTTACACAATTCACAGTGCTCACCATAGCACCTACCTTCCCTAATGTCCGTCACCCAGCCACCCCATCCCTCCCACCCCCCACCACTCCAGCAACCCTCAGTGTTTTTCTGGTGCCTTTCACTCTGCTGTCTACCAAATCCTTCTTCTCCTCTCTGAGATCATATACTTTGCCCAAGCATTCTGTTTCCTGTTTCTACCATCTCTTTCCCATTTGACTACATACATCTGTGTTACCACATGGCCTCTCAGCTCCCCAGTTTGTGGATTCTAAGTAGTTTTATTCTTAAGTCCAGTCCTCCTTCCTCCCTGTAAAATGCATGGCTTCAGGCCTCTTGCTCTGTTTGAAAGGGATGGAAGGCGAGGGTTTCCAGTATCCCCAGGTTGCCAGTGCTAATGCCATCTCCACGGAAGCATCCCGTGGCTGATGAGGTACCCCGGCAACCCACCTCCAACCTCCATGTGATGTCTTGTGGGCATCTGCACTCTCCCTTGGAACTGCTTTCTCTCCCTCATCACCCGTCTGTGGGTCTCTGGCCTAGAAGAAAAAACATGTTCTCACTTTGAAGGGAAGGCAGAGTGCTCAGGCTCCTGATAAGGGTCTCCGGCTTTAACTACCCAGCCCTCTTGGTCCCAGGGCACTCAGCCATCCCAGAGAGGAGATTCAAGCATAACCTCATGCTGCACTCAAAGCTACTGCAGCCTGCCTCCCCTCGGGCCCTTTTTCTCACTTATCCTCACTGCATCTGATACTTTCCCTACTTGGAGGGTCTCTTCCCTCTCCCCCAGGGGCCCTGTTTCTTAATCAGGCTCCCAATTTAGGACAAGGTTCAATTCTTCCTTTGAGTACCTATATAGCAGGGAATAGAAGAGAAGTGTCTATACCCTGTCCTTTCATCCTAAATATGTAACGCAATGCTCTAACCTCGGCAGAGACTCAGCTAGGTTTGTAAGACTTCCTTCCCAAATTGAAGAACCAAAACAGAACAACAACAAAACACCTTTCTTCATCCTAAAGCTCGATCTAGCCTCTTGCTCTCTTTCCTTCCCAGTCGAAACTCTTCAATAAGCGCCTGACACAAAATGTCACACCTCCTTTAGCACCCTGTCTCTTTGGTCCGCTTCAGTCCTTCCTCCACCTCTACCATCCAACAGAGAGTGCATATGTTGTCATATTTACTCCAACTCCTACGGTACCCTTTGAACAAAGCATACTGATGTTTAAAAATGAAAGCATGTAAAAACCATGGATAAAAAGAATTGGGAGAGCAGGTTGGAAAAGTTGACAAGAGATCTCATTATAGAAGGCCCTGGGTGCCAGTGAAGGGGATGTGCTAGATCACGTGAGGGCATAAACCTGAGGGCC